GAAATAGATTCTTAAAAAAAAGTATTAAGAGAATCAAAGCAATAAATAACAAATTTCTAGTCTGGCTCCATGGGGTGACTTACAATCCCTGTTTTGAGAAACTGTTGACCTGGTCCTTGAATTTAGAGGTGAATCCATAGAGATGGGGCTTCCTTGGTTTTTATTTTTTATTTTTTTTTAGACACAGCTTAACTGGTCATGGCTCCTCTTTCCTTTATCCAAGGTAGAATTCCAACCCTGTTCCTGGCCCGTGGAGTGAGTCCATTCTGGAGGCTTTTTCTTGCTTGCATGGGAAATCTTGGTGTTTCATGATGAGGTCTTTACTTCCCAGTATGACTCAGAAGCCTCTGAAAGAGCATAATTGTAGGACAAGACATTCTGTGATAATGGGGTAGGTACAAGCAACTTTGGGAACAAACAGAAAGATTGACTAATTTGTCTGGGGCATTGTGTTTTTTTTTTGAGAACTCTTGTCCGCTTTTCTGATTTTTTTTCCTATTTCCTCATTTGCTGTTATAATGTTAGTTATCACATCTAACTGTGCAGTATCCCTGGCCAAAGCAGCCCCTCTTCACATTCTAGTACTTGGAGACAAGTTACCTCTGAGAGTCTATGTTGACCTTATGATTAGACGACAGTGTCAGAAACCTAGGGGAAGTTTTCAAAGTCCCTCAGTGTGTGGTAATATTTTCCTCCAGCTAGGACTCTGTTGTGTTAGACTTAACATTGGTTGGATGGTTGATTGTTTACGTAACTCATCTATTCACCAGATATTTGGGGAACATATGCTGTATGCCAGGGAGCATGTATTATATCTAGGGGATGTGATAAAAAGGTGGCAAACCAGATTTACCTACAAAGTTTTACTGATAGCTCACAGGTTGAATATAAAAGCATGGAATACCTGAAGAAAACCAAATTGCTTTTCTGGAATTTGAAGAATCTGTGTTGCCAGGTCACAGCCCGCTCTGTAAAGTCCTACCTAAGCATATTTGATGTGGGAAGTAGTACCAGATACTTTATATGTTGCAATAATCTCCATATATTTATTAAGCTAAACTTATAAGACTTCCTGATGGGGCATTGAATGAGACCTTTTGTGTGCTGTGTTGTGTCTTTGTCAAGAAGCTCTCTGGTAATTCCTGCCTGCATCATTCATCTGGCTTATGCTGGTAATGCAGCATGTTTCAGTCATTCTGAGAGGGTTTGGGGATCTGCACAAAGAAGAAAAAGACTAACAAAGGATTGGTTTCATGGCAGGTTGGAGGGAAAGAGGGAATGCACTTAGGGGCATTTAGGGAAAACAAAGGAGAGAATGAAACTCTTTGCCTAGTGTATTTTACATCTTTATTCCTTTTCAGTATGGCAGCTGAATATTCCAGAGTTCTATGTTTTTAAAAATGCTAAGAAAATGTTAGGTAAATGTATTATTTTTAATTGGTTCTTTTGAGTTATACATGACAGTAGAAAGCATTTTGACATACTTTTGTTCTAACTCAGATCCTAGTATTTCTACTTCCCTTCCCTCTCTCCACCCACTACTCTCTTCCCTATATTAGCTTCCACATATCAGAGAAAACATATGACCTTTGATTTTTTGGGGACTGGCTTATTTCACTTAGCATGATAGTCTCCAAATTCATCCATTTACTGACAAATGTCATAAAGTCATTCTTTATGTCTGAGTGATATTTCATTATGTATATATGCCACATTTTCTTTACCTATTCATCTGTTGAAGGGCACACCTAGGTTGGCTCCATAGCTTAGATATTGTGAATTGTGCTTCTATAAACATTGATGTGGCTGAATCATTGTAGTATGCTGATTTTAAATCCTTTGGATTTATACCCAGGGGTGGGATAGCTGGGTCAAGTGGTGGTTCCATTCCTCGTTTTCTGAGAAATCTCCATACCGCTTTCTAGAGTAGTTGCACCATTTGTAGACCCATAAACAATGTATGAGTGAACCTTTTTCCCCATATCCTCAGCAAGGTAATTACTTTTTACTTCTATTCTTGGTAATATCCATTCTGACAGGAATAAGATGAAATTTCAGTGTAGTTTTAATTTGCATTTCTCTAATTGCTAGGGATGTTGAACATTTGTTCTTATACTTGTTGACTGTTCATATTATATTTCTTTTGAGAAGTGTCTGCTTAATTCCTTTGCCCGTTTATTTATTTATTTGGTGTTAAGCTTTTTGAGTTTGTTGTATATCCTGGAAATTAATGCCTTATCTGAGATGTAGTTTCTCTCCTAAGGAGCAACCAATGATTTTCTCCCATTATATAGACTCTCTCTTCATGCTCTTGATGGTTTCCTTTGATGTGAAGAAGCTTTTAAATTTGATGCCATTTTGTTTATTGATTTTTAAATTTTAATTCTTGTGTTTTAGGAGTTTTGCTAAGGATGTTCATTCCTGAGCTGAAATGTTGGAATGTGAGGCCTATATTTTCTTCTAGCAGTTTCAGGATTTCTGATCTAATTTTTATGTATTTGATCCACTGTGAGTTGAGTTTTGTGCAGTGTAGGAAATAGGGGTTTAGTTTTATTCTGCAACATATGGATTTTCCAGTTTTACCAGCACCATTTGTTGAAGATGCTATCTTTTCTCCAATGTATGTCTGTGGTGCCTTTGTCTAGTATGAGATGATTGTATTTATGTGGGTTTGTCTCTGTATCTTCTATTCTACTCCATTGGTCTTCAACTATACTACAGAGCTATAGTAACAAAAACACCATGGTATTGGTGTCCAAACAGGCAGGTTACTGCATTTTTTGAAAGCATTCTCCTAAATCACATGACATAGGTACAAGAATCTGAGAACTCCAGTATTACACCGGAGCTGTAGAGGAGTCCAGCAGTATTCTGTGGTTTCCAAACGCTGTGCTTGGGAGCACTGACTCTATGCTAATAACAGAGATTCTGCTCTGGGAGAGGGAAGGGCATCAAGGAGGGCAATATAAATGTGGGAATGTTAGTGAAGAAAAGGGTAAAGATGGAAGGAATGTATGGAAGGGCAGGAAGATGTTTGTTGGTCCTTCCTCCTCTCCCTGTCTCCTGCACACAAAGGTAGAGTATGACAAAGGAGGCAAGGAGAGCGCTGGTTGGAGAACAGAGGGCACTGGAGGCCATAAAGAAGAAGGAAAATGAGTCAAAGAAATCACAAGGATAAGTGAGGGGGAAGGAGACAGGATAAAAACTATTTAAATCCAAGAAAAAGAGAGAGCCACAGAAAGGGGCGCGCCTACTTTGGTCACACTGAGAGCCTTCAATTGCTCCCAGCAGTGCATCTGCCAAATAGCCAGTGTCCCTTGCCGAAGACATTTTCCTGACTTTTGTATTAACTTTAATGCAATTCTCTTTATGGTCCCTGTATTGCTCATTGACACTCTGCGTGATCGCATAGCCAGTGTGGAGGCACGGTTCTGTTATCCCTGCCCCCTTGGCGTGTGCAGCTGACTTCCCAGGCAGTGCTTCTTATGTTTGATGTTTTCCATTCCTCCCTGTCTACAGGTAGGCAAGTTAAAAGGAAAGTGGAAGAAAAAAAAAAAACCTTTCTTAAGGGCTGCTACGTAAGTTCATGCATACAAATATCCAGAGCAGCTAAAAAAAAAAAAAAATCCATCAAATCACAACTGCTATTTTTTTTTTTTTGAAGCAAGGTAGTTGACTCTTTTTTTGCTGGACTGCTTACTTGCCCTAACTAACCCAGTGCCACACTCACTGTACCTGTAAGTGGACTGCTTCTTGAAATATCTTATCTTTCCTTATCCTTTTTTAAGGCTGAGCTCAGAAAACCTTCCCAGTATGCCAGGTCTGGGTCAGGTGCTTTCTAAGTGGGACACCGGTGCCCATTCTTATTCCTGGTTTCCTGTGCAGTCCCTTCTTGTTAGAGCTACTAGCCATGTCACAATTTGTGTTTGTCTACTTTGGGGTCTTTACACAGTATTTGTTATTATTGAGATCCTATTTGTGGAATGAATGATATCTGTCATCAGTATCCATAATGCTGGCCTTTTGACTATAAAATAAATTCTTCTAGAATTGGCTATACTTTCAGATATTCATTTACAATTGGTCTACATATTATGGAAAAGAAAAGGGAGTTGTCCAGTAGTAAGGGGCTTCCAGAAAGTTTAGTAGATATTTATCCCAGATTCACACAACTATAATGAAAGGATTGTGATGCTACTAGCTTCTGAATACAAGAGGATAGTCTTGAAGTTTGAAGCAATCTGTTACTTGTGATCCTGGCAACCACAGGCTTGATGCACTTTCAAACCAGGCTTCTCAGACTTTACTGCACTAGAAACCATCTAAAGAATCTTGTTAAAATGCAGATTTTGGTGATAGGTCTCCTTAGAGATGATACTGTCCATCGACCATGCTCTGAGAAACAAGGCTTTGAAATAGTTCCCAGAAAATTAAGTTGGGATTTATTCTAATTTGAAAATATCCAGGTGTGTTTTATAGTTTCCAGAACAACAGATTTTTCTGAACAAAAATATAAATAGCTAACTCATTTCAGCTTGGAAATTTGCAAGAATTTCCCACACTTAAAAATAGTATATCTGATCTTGGTAAGCCCCTAAATTTTCTTTTGAATGACTTGAATGATACTGTGAGTTATACTGCCCTGATTAACTTACAGATTTATTTCTTTAGGCTTTCTTAGATGGGAAGGCTACCCAGCACTAGCCTCAGTGTAACTACCTTAGCAACAAGGATTACTTTTAACACAGAAATATTCTATGGAAGATTGACTGTTCAAAGGCTGTGTTTATGATGAGACCTTCACATTTATTGATTGTTACCAGGTTAGCACCATGCAGAGACCTTCTGCAAGGGCATTCAGTTGGAATGGCTAGAAATGGAAAGGGCAATGTTCAGCTCAAATTCTGCAAGTGAACCTTGCATCTGCTTACATATGTTCAATCAGCTCTTTGAAATTGATGTTTGAAGTTTCTTCTAACAAGATGGCCTTTGTTTTACAGGTCCTTTGCAGCCAGCATGATATCATATTTATAACATATGGAGAAGAGATTGTTCACCATGCTCAGGTAAAGGGATTGTGTGCGTCGCACAAATGACAAGCAGGGCTAATGGCAGGTTGTCACTGTATGAAAACTGATTTGGCTTAATTATACTACTGACATAATTCCCTTACTCAAGTTATGCCTGTGCTTCAGAGAGCCCATGGTCAAATATCATGAACTAACATGCATTTAGGGAGCATCTACAAAGTACCTACAACAGAGCCTCTGCAAACAACCAGAAAAGAAGCACGACCAGTCACAGGAGATTTGTTGGCAACTTCTACAGAGTTAATGCAGAACAGTTACTATTGTTCATCTTATTCCTTTATCAGAAATCTTTTTTTTTTCAAATTTATGTCAATATGTGAATATTGAAGGCTTCTAATTAAAGTGTTATCTCTGTCTCCTTATCTGAAGTCATCCTTCTAAATTTCCTTTGCATATTCTTTTAAAATAAATGCCTGTCTCACAACTTTGATTTGCCCAAATAGGTCACCATGATTAATTTCCATTAACTTTTACGGCTTTCTAACCATCTTTTTAGAGGATTAAACTGTCTCCATTGAGTCAATCTGCTCCTTAGGAAAGAAACCATCTTTTTTTTTCTCTGATCACCTTTATAGAATTATTGTAGATGGTGTTGATCAGTGGTGTAGGGCCCAAATCTGGCTCCATTAATTGAGCCAAAATAGTGTAGATAGACCTACACTGGGAGTTCTCTTGCCCTTGCCAATTTTGTTATTAGTTTTATTTATTTTCTGAGCCAGTCAATATTAGTTTCTTAAAACTACCTTAACAAAGTACTACAGACTGATGGGCTTTAGTCATAGAAATGTGCTGTCTCACAGTTCTGGAGGCTGAAGTCCAACATCAGGGTGTTGGTGGCTTTACTTCTCAGGGTTTGTGAGGAGGATGTTGTTCCAGGCCACCTTCTGGTTGCCTCAGGAATTCCTTGGCTTATAGATGGCATCTGTTTTTACATTGCCTTCCCTCTCTATGTGTCTATCTCTATGTCCAAATTTTCCCTCTTTATAAGAGTACCCATTCATGTTGGGTCAAGGCCTACTGAAATGACCTATCTTAACTCCATCATCTTTATCATTGTCCTATTTCCAAATAAAATTACATTCACATGTGTTGAAGGTTAGGACTTCAGCATCTTTTGAGTCACACAGCTCAACTGGAATACTGTCTAAGGGAAGGCAATGTATTTACTCTTGGTATACCCTTAAAATCTAGCATAGTGTGTGCTGCTTATTATTTGTTGAATGTGTGTGAATGACTAAGAACACAACAGCCATGGTCACTAGTTTGAACAAGCAAAGTGCAGTTACCAGAGGTGGGTAGGCAGCATGCTGACTCTTACTATCCTCAGTGAACTCTTAGTTTTAGGATAGTCCAAATTAAGCAACATTATAACAGGGATAAGACTTTTCCTTCATTAGTAATAGAAAGTGGGCTTAAGAAAACAAAAACCAACCACACAAAAAACAACAAACCTCCCCAAGCCCTCTGCAGGAGCAGTCCTGCCTTCTCTGCTGGCATCACAGGCTAAACTGCCAATTTACATGAGTCCTTTATCAGTACATCAAGATATATTTCCAGCTAATTCAGGGCCATTTAAATCATACTGAGCAGGTCTATTCTTCCTTTCCAGCTGCATCACTTTGCACTTATTAAATTTAATGTTCTATTCCCTACCTTCAGTCTATAAGTGCTGTCCTGTAACAGATCTGCCCGTGGAGCATCTTCTCCTGTTTCTATGCTTCTTCACCTCAAAATTATTAGAAGTTATCTACTGAGTGTTTAGATTTGGGTGTGGATGAAATATTAAGATACTGATCTCAAGGAAGTACTTAAATGATCTATTCTTTAGGAATGTTTATTAGGGAAAACTTTGTGTCCAGTTGGGTTAGTACATTCTGTCCCTGTCTGTGGTTACTTCCACAAAAGGAAGAGGAAGGGTCCTGATGAAAAGAGGCAAAAGCCAGGGGCAGATTTCCTCCTGGGAATAAGTGGACAGTTTAGGAGCTCTGAATTCTTCTAAGCCCCTGGACTAGTGCTGTGTAGAGCTGTAAGGCCACAGTCTAGGTATTGACTGTGGGTCAGGCCCAGGCCTTCTTCAAGCCTGTGCTGCAGGCAGGTTGGAAACATTTACTTATAGGCTGCCCAGCCCCACGGGGGCATCTGTGCTCCTGGCATGGGGCTTTAGGCTGTCCCATGGCCAAGGGATAACATTGGCTCTGACAACATTGGATTTATTAGATGATGACAGGCAGTAAAATATAAAAATGAATAAAAATTTATTTCAGCATTTTCTACAACCACATTAGTCCTAAAAAAATTGGTAAATCAAGCAGCAAGTGTTTATGGCGTGTATGATGCATGTAGGCGCGGTTCCACCAAACGCCGTGTAAGGATGTATAACTTCATCTTGGTGCCTTCACTGTTTAATTTTCTTTTTCATTTTCTTCAAGGGCTTACTACTGTCGATTAGAGGCCTTCTATAACTTTCCATGTGCATTCTCCTTGGTTGGTTTGTGAGGATGTCTGCAGGGCTTCATTAAAATTAAAATAATAAAATTGTTTCGGTCACACAAGTGATCCAATCAGAGTGATGGTGGGATTGTTCTTCGTTGTCTGTAGGTGGAACCCGGTGAGCTTCTGCTAATTGAAATAGCTAGCAGAGTACTCCACGGTGTGCGCAACTCAGTGATAAATAAGTGATAAATCGTACTTTAATAACTAATTTATTTTGTGTGTACTTAGTACTTTCCTGTTATTAAAAAGGAAATTACCCACGAATTACACTTTAAGAACCCTGATCACTGAAAGCTTAGCTTACTGTTGATGCCCAGTCTTTTTTTCTACTACCATTTTACATTTCTTCAGCTTTGTCAATCTTAGATTTCTGAGAAGTCGGCTCTAAGACTTTCCTGGAACTGATCATAATGGATTGTCAAACTCTGATTTCAAAAAGTGGAAAGTCATTTTTATATCCATCTAGTTAAGAATTAATGTGGTAGGTTTTAAAAATCTCTTCAAGAGTATTTGTGACATTATGGAAAGTATTTAAATTCAACAAATTCTACTTTGAATCAAGATCCTATCAAATTTCCTTAGGAAATTTTTGCAGTGAATAAGTTAAAATATGAATCTTAGTGTTTGCTTTCTCTGGGTTCTTCCTCTGTGTCTCTCTGATGATTCCTTCTTGGTTTCATTTAAAATTCATGAGTTTATGTTGAGTGATCCTGAGCTGATAATATAAAATGATGAAGAGGAGCAGTGGGCTCCTGCTAGGGAGCTCAGAAGCCTGGCATTCTCCCCCATCTTTTGCTGCTTCTACATTTAGTTTCATATATCTACTTTCCTTTTCCTTTGTATCTGTGACTATCCTTTCTTCAGACTTTGCACGTTTTCTTTTAGTTTATTAGTTCATTCAGTCATTTGTTTATTTATTCATTCACCCACATATTGCCCTTCTGTCCTGTGCCAATAATTACTCTGAGGAAGATGTCAAGTGTATTGTAATTTAGATAGGAGATAGTCATGCAAACATCATCGCTGTGATGGAGCTATCCATATACCGTATATAACTTCCATATAAAAAGCAGAGCAACTGAATTGGTTTGAGGGAGTTAGAAAATGCTTCAGAAGTGAAGACTTAATTCGAGTGGAGATTGGAAAAAGCAGGAAAGAGATTGCTAGGTGGATCAGCAAGGTAGAGAGAGATCATTCCAAATGGGAAATGGGGTGGATTGGCAGGGAGGTCTGAGGGAGGAGAGTGTGTTTTTATTGTTCAGAATATTGCTGGATCATACAGTGGAAGAGGGAGGTGCGGATAGGTAAGGCTCTTTCGGAACATGGAAATCAGGTTTTGAAGGTCCTTTTGTACATTACCAAGCCTTCCCATCTCAGGCCTACAAACAACAATTGTTTTTAGTTCATCCTGCAAGAAGGCTGAGTTAAAGAAGTGCATATCTTCTGCCAGACTCTTCCTTTATGACCCTTACCCTGGTCTCACTACTTCCAAAGGAAAATCGGGCCTTTTTCACCTTTTATTTATGCCATTAAATAATTTATGCTCCTAGATTAGTGTGTTTTGCTTCTCACAATTTGCTACTTTTCTATTTCCATTTTCAAAATGCTTTGGTTCTTCAAGACCTTCCTGAAATTCATATTCTTTATGAAAACTTCTGTGCTCCTTCTGAATCCTTGGAGAACTTCCAGTGGACTCACTATTTTCACATACTTCTCTATATCATGTTATTTTTATAACACTCTCAGACACCCACACATTGAAGTGAAGGGCTGCATGTCTTTTTTGTAGCCTATCTATGTTGAAAGTGCAGCTTCTCATGTGTAATTGATACTGCATTGGCATTTGTTAAAAGAATGCTGGGAAACAGGGTTCCTGCAATTCGTAATGCTATTATAGAGGTGGAACTGAGGGATTGATTAATTGTCATATGGAAGAGGCAGTGGATAATGTAACATACAGATGAAACTTGTGGGGTAGAAAAATTGTCAGTGAAAGTAGAAAGATTTTATTAAACAAAAGACAGACATAAGTACAAAAAATAGGTCCATTTTAATTGAAAATCTGTAAGTATCCTCAGTCTTAGATATGGGAGGAAAAAGGTTAGAAAGCCATTGAGCCACATGTGATTGACTTTGACAGTGAATGATAAATGACCCAGCAGGTAAAAGCACCTATATTGCATTAAGATGCTCTGCATCATTATACAAAATGATCTCTGGAAAATGTGATTCAATTTCAGACTTCTCAGTTATAGATCTGGAGACAATCATGAATTCAGAAATATATTTATGAAACTCTGTTGCCACTGAACTCAAAAGACCATAATCCTATTACTTGTGGTTTTGAAAAGGGTAAACATGAGTAACTGGAAAGAGATATTGATTAAAGAAGTAATATGAGCAGGAATAATGGAATTAAAGTAATTGAGGCAATATTGGGCCTAATGGACCTTGTTCTCTTAATGCTTTCCTTCTGCTTTTGT